GCATTCCCAGGGTTTAGCATTCCCAGGGTTTAGCGAAATTAGCGATAGATCTGTGAGAATGGTGCTTTCAGAAAGATATGATGGTGTCAGCTCAACATTTCCCCGGGTACTTGAATGTAAGGGCAGACCAGGAGTACAGAGTGATACAGGACTCGAGCGACTGGAAACTGAACCTGTCAGTCCATTTGTCCTGATAGGTCGTTGTGTACGGCAGGTGATGTCCCAGAAAGTGGATCAATTAGTTCTAGTAGCACCGGTATGGCTAACTCAGCCTTGGTACCCATTGCTACTGCAACTGTGTGTGGATCTTCCACTACTAATAGTCGTTGAATATTCGGTGTCAAGTGATCAAGGATTCTAGCATTCTCGAGTGAACCATTAAATTCTGAAACAATATCACCAGCTTGAAAATCAGTTATACGTTTACGTACTTCCATGATTTGATCTTTAAGATCCCTTCTTACAAATTTGCAAATGATTAGTTTCGGACCAGCAGAGGCACCTCGGACAGAAACGCGGTGAGCAATATCGATATCAGACTGGTGTGCTTCGACTCCCAATTTGTTGTACAAATTTAGACATGACTGTGTAGTTTCAACGGCAGATTCACGAGAGTTAAGCTGAGGAATGCCGGTGATTTTAAGATTGTATTTGTAGCCGTATTGTCGTGATTCTTCAATCGAATTGGCGATGGCTTCTACTTGTTCATCAATTGCGTTTAACGGAGATTTCAACTTCCTCAATTCGGCATTGGCTTCATCTTTGAAGTGATTAAGGTCGTCGTATGGCTTGCTGTAAAATTCGAAGTGTTTTTGGATTTCGACTTCGTTGATGCATGAATGGCGGCCCTTAAAAAATCTTTTCAAGGTTTGGGAAAAAAATCTTCGTAAAATCTTTTCAAGGTTTGGAAAATCTCCTTTTAATGCTTTGATTTCATATCATATCAATATTCATATCATATTGATTTCATATCATATCAATTTAATATATATATATATATATATATATATATATATATATATATATATATATATATATATATATATATATATATATATATATATATATATATATTTATATATATATATGTATACAATAGATCGCGTGAAATGAAATGAACTTCACTAGTTCTTGTATAATAATAATATGTGAAATGAAATAAAACAATGCCAATGAACTCAACAGCCATTTACTTTTGAAAGATAACTGATCTACTTTAACCGGATCAACTGTAATGGCAAGGGTGAAAGGTTCTTTCTACCGTCTTTATCACAAAGTTCGGTATAGAGAAAAACATGCACTCTTCTCAAACGGCAAAACTCTAGTGGACTAGATACTGGCTACATTTAAATACGGTAGAGTTTCCAGGATAGCAGGTAATACCAAAAATGAAAAATTCAAATAAAAACTGAGTCAAACCACAACAAAATGATTAGAATCTGATCTATAACAGACAACAAAAATGTATAAAGGCGCCAAATGTTGAAATGAATCCAAAACAAATACCCCCTGAGTGCTCCCTTTCATTTTATCAATAAAAGCAAATATTTCAATTATCTGATACAGGCTATATATAAATTATCCAAACGTCAATAAAATTCCATTCGCCTAGAGTTCGCATTTCTGTGATCTCTCAACTTCCGGTGTGCTCGCTAACTCGAATGAGCATGTCAAATAATGAAAAAGGTCTTATATTTGAAATCTTTGAAATATCTGAAATAGGCCTACAGCTCAAGAGGCAACACGATGAATTTAACAACAACAACTTACTAAAGTCAATGTTTAATTAAATATAACCAATCACGTTAAACTATGTATATACAGGGTGTCTCAGAAAAAACGCTATGGAAATTCAACAAGCTGTCGTCGTGGCGTATAGCCAGCCCGATAAGTCAGGGGGGGCACATACTATTCATACATTCGTATTCATAGACCGTAAAAACAATCAATTTCAAAAGAAATTAATAATGCAGAACACGAATATATGAATATGTCCCCCCCAACTTATCGAGCTGGCTACGCCACTGCCTGTCGTACGTCATAAACGTGGCTAAACAGTTCAATTTTTACATAGGACGAAAGAACAGTTACTTAGCTTTTCAATGATGCTCTTTTTTAATCGTAACGATGAGAAATGGCCACATACTCGTCAAATAAAAATTGCCGGACGAAATCACATTCTTCCACCTTTGGGAATTGCATGGAAAACGAAACATAAACAATTCCCAAAAGGGAATTAAAATTGAATGTTAAATTATCTAAAATAAGCTCAACTCGTCAATCTTCGTCTTAGTGAGACCATAAGAACGTCATTATTGCATTAAACATGGTTCAATGGACCTATTCCCTAATGAACAAAATATTGCTCTAGACAAGTCTAGACAAAAATTTCATCACAGGTTGAAAGAGCATCTCTAGATTAGTTATATTCCGAAGTTTTGTTGCGGAATGTTGCAAATGCGGATAATATAGCTCTGTGAAGTTTGCCGTTTTTCAGTCATTTTGTATTACGCACGGAAAATTGATACCGCTTTTTGAAAAAGGTATCAATTCGCCATTATTATACATACAAATATAAATATATCACAATTAATTAACACAAATGCTTAGCACAATATGCCAGGAAATATAGGAACAGGACTTTCGACCCAATTGGCACCTATAAGTAAGTAAAATGAGAGATATGACAATACAACTGTAAATAATTTATAGTGAGGAGCATTATATGCAACGCGCTTAAATATATATATATATATATATATATATATATATATATATATGTACATGCCTTAAATTTTGACAACGTACAGTATCACGTGAGTTTAATCAATATAGCAAAAAAACTTTTAAAAATCCAGAAAATATCCGACGTACAAATACCATCATAATTCACAAGAAACATTTTGACAGTAAAAAATGTCGTTCACTGATAGGAAATTCCAGTTTTTCGTACACCGCATGCATGCATGTGGAACACATGCAGGCATGCAGCTATTACAAATCCGCGAGGAATACCCGAAAACATAACAGAAAACATAGCCCGGCCGCTTTGTTAAATGCCAGCATCGTTTTTGGCTTCGCATGAAATGCTGATAGCCTAAAGCAATGGCTGAGATAGCGCATTTTAAGACCTTTAAAATAAAATTGAGTGCATGCACATAGTGTTATTTATATAGGAGTTTATTTACCCTTAAGATGTAAATTTGTTGCTTGAAATATATCTACATCAATATCAGTTTTTGACAGCTAACAATATGTGGTAGCATTCACACTCGACGCCGTCTACATGAGCAATCCACACTTCGCCGCTTGCGAATAATCGCTAGATAAAAGTCAGATATAGGTAAATACTGTTTTAATCTTACCTATTTCGTAAACAGGTATATTTGTGTAGAATGCGTACTTTGTAGTGGATTCTTGAACTTCCTTCTGCCACATGACCAGTATGGAATCCGTCAATATATTACGCCGGAGGTTACGCCAAGTGGACACCGACTAATTACGCCACATTCGGAAATATTTTCGATTTTTATAATCGCCGCAAAATATCACCGGACCAGTCGGTATGAAGAGTACCATTTCAAATAAATATCCAAAAAGCTCAAGACCTTAAAATATTACAATCGAGATGTATTGTACAAAGCATTAACTACAGCAGCATTACGCAAACACGGTCTTTACTTCGATCTTACACCTCTTGAATTATATTCATTTTTATACAAACTTCAAGAGTATATGAAGTAGAGGCTATGTGTATATTACGGTACGTACCACTATCAAAATTAATAAGTATGGAAACTGTCTTTAAATTTCTTCAATGACTAACCACTAACAACCAAAATTAGGACAACATCAACAATTAGCCATTTCCCAATCGGGCAGAGGACTGAGTCTAGTTGATGTTTGAAGGGACGTTTGGACGGACAACATGTCAACAAGTTATAGTGAGCGAGCTAAATATTATATTAAAAGATGCCTAATTATCATAATTGTTGCGTTTCAGGCTGCAATAAATAACTTTAGGAATGTAGGAAAACTTCAAACAAACCAAACAAGCCACTAGACCCAGTCCTCTGCTCGAGGCTTTTCAGTGACTGGTTACATTATGAATAGATAGATAGAACCGGACTGACGTGAAGTAGACTTTGAGCTTACAAATGGCGCTTGAGCAGCTGCCGCTATTAGTCCATACCTCATTAATGATCTGCCTCCAGACCTATGTGCCTAACCCAACCTGTCAACTTTCCCTGTGGGAGGAATCACGGAGTGCCCGGAGAAAACCCACGACTTTCGGCATAGCTTTGACTTTTACTCTTTTCACATGAGGACTGGGTTCGAGTCACATTGAGAAGTTCTCATTGAGATTCGAACCTGCGACCTTAGAGGTGAAAGGCAAGTGCACTAACCACTTGGCCACCGAAGCCCCATAATATCAATTAACAATTATCACAAGACACAAATTCTTTTATCACAATCCGTATTATTCTTTCGAATAAAACTGAAATTATTTATATTTATAGTTTTTTATAGCAGGAAAGGAAATCTGACAGTCTTGGGGGTGATCTTGCTGTCAATAACTTTGCTGTGGTGATACCTGCAAAAGTGTTAAATTCAATACATATAGTATAAATTTAAAATACTTGTGAAGAACATCAGCATTTTTATTATTATAAGTATATACAATATTGACTCACCGATTTCCACGAACGGCGCTCTGAATAACAGGCAAAATGTGGGCCTTTAGCCCCTTTTCTTTGTCGCTTTTGATGTATATGTTAGCAATTTCCTTCACTGCTCGCTCGGGCGTCAATGCGGTTGGCATGCACCAGTTAATTTTTGTCCTTCAAAAATTGGATGTTTTTGGATGTTAAGTAGCTGTTTTGAAGTTTATTAGTTTAATAATCACGCAGTAAATAAGTTAATAATCTTACACTTGATTTACAAATGCTTAATCTTTCAAGCTAAGTTTGTATTGTGAATAAAGTCTAACTGTACCTCAATGTTAAGATCTCATTCGAAATTGGGCCCAATTGATTCTGTGATGCCATAGCGGAATACACACTTTCCACTACAGCCTCACGGTGCCTCCCTTACCAAGAGAAATCATCCCTCGGGCCCAATAAGTGAATAGACCGTTTCATTTATGTATATGGTCTCATACACTTTGTCTTCGTTAACCACAGTCAAAGCTATCTTTCCTGAACAAGGAATAAATAAAAAATATATTCACATATATTCAAAAAGCTATTATAGTTAATCAACACGAATAATTACCGTTTTGGAACTCCATTCTATAGACATTCTGTAATAGGAGACAATTTACACCAAGTTCAAGAAAAGCGCGAGCTTCCGTATCATCAAGAATGGAAAAATCACAAAGGGATTCATTAGCAATCCCATCATTTTGCCCATCATTATCAGGGAGAACATTGAACCATTGCTTCGTGATTTCGCGGTACTTCTTCTCCCAAATAATCGATTTAAGGGCTTGTTTGACGTTGCGGTGCACAATGTGACTGAGTTCCCCTTTGAACAATCCATATAAATTCTTGATGTGAGGAAGACTGCAAATATAGGTCCAGAAGGACAGGAATTCTTGCTTTCCATAGTTTTCAAACTTTACCTCATCAACGACAACGGCAGTTAGATTTTTGTGACCGCAACACAATGAAATTAGCTCGTCAAGGTCAACTGCTACAATTTTCTTCTGCATACGTTTAACAGATTTACCAGAAAATCGAAGATCAATTGACTTAATCATTGCGACACGAAAAACTTCCAAGTCCACTCGGCAGACCTTAAGATCTCGAGCACGCCAGTTAGTTGTTGTAGTTTTCTTCCCATCAGACACTTCTTCAAAGACATTCTTCTCAACTTTGAGCCATCCAGGTACAACTTTTGTTCCCTTAAATTTCCCTTTCTTGATATCTCTTATATTATTTGATGTCAATGGAAGGTCAGGAGAATCAAATGAAATTGGAATACATTTCTGGATACGTTGTCTGACTTTTGACAACCAAAGGCAGATTTTCCACGATGGGACGGACAAACCTTGAAGACTGACTAGTAAGTCGACCATTGGACGCATAAGATCTGTCAAAGCAAGAAGATCCACCACAAAGTCTTTTCCTGTGATTTCGTACTCGTCATCCTCATCGTAGCCATACTTTCTGAATGTATCGATATACAGAAGAAGGCTCTCAGAGAGTTTGAGGAACTCACTATACTGCGACGTACTAAACCTGGTTCCACACGTACGGGACAGAACTTTAAATTTAACATCTTTACCGTAGCCATTATGGTTGGCAACGGACTTAACTTGTTGAAACATTTTTCCACTGTTAAACTTCGTGTGGAGCTTCATTGTTCTCTTGATAATTCTGTTGAGATATGAAAAAGCATCCTCACTGATTTTTCCATCTTTGACATCCTCATGGCCAGATCAATCCAGTGTGGAGGATCCCAAATTACGACATTAAATGTGTCATCAGTGCGTGCTAAGGCTGAATATATATATTATATTATTTAAAAATGACAAACTTAATCAAATTCTTAATTTCTTAGAGTTAAAAGGGGGCACTATTTATTAGATGAGACTGTCTTAAAGAGGGCTATTAATATTAGACAAAGGGGTATGAGTTGACCTGACTAGGGCATCTGTTAATACTGTCATAAAGGGTGCAGTTATCAATAAATCAATTGGGATTTTTCCTTTTCTCTATCCAGTCAAAAGGAATTATTGGCATACCAATGAAGATTTTATTGCTTCCTGAGCTTAGGATATATAAATAGACAAACTTGACATGGGACACATGGGTATTTTCCCCGTAATTTTCTGATCACATGAATGTAATGCGTGCAGGAAAACGGAAGGGAGAGGTGATACATATCTGTAGCAGAACGCGCATCTGGTTCATTCTGCTCTTCGCTTTGGTAGCGCAAAGTCGTCTGTATTTTAAAGCCAAGTTTTTCCCCACCCTCCTCCCCGTTTTTCTGAACGCAAGAGTATTCTACTTGTATATTAGTTATTATAGTTGTTACTGTTAGTTGTGGGCGTTTTTATTACCCCCACCTTTTCTGTGCTAACTGTTAATGAATTACTTTGGTTAATAATTTGTTATGTTAAACTTATGTCATTGATTACAAAATTAATAAACCGGCATGTGCGTTATGCAATACGCACATTGCCATAATTATTCCAAGTGGTGTCTGACTCGTTTATTGCGCGTAAAGAACATGCACAGAAAACAGAGCTCATCGTGACAAGATATCCCCCAGATATAGTGTTAAATAAAGGAAGCGATAAATTCTCTTTATTTGTATGTTATATAGGTGTGTGACAAACCAAGTTAAATTAAATTGTTACTGGTTTAAGCTATTTATTTATCATAGGCATTAATTAGATCATTTACCCATTATCAGATTAACCTCCAGAACATTTCTGACAAATAACACTTTTTCCAAAACCCTCTTCCTCATGCACAACAGTAATGCAGCATGGAGATATTGCATGACATGTCAATTTACAAATTCTGCATGAATGGGCACCCGCTGTTTCCTATTCACATGTCACACATTTTAACACTAAAAATAAGACATAATACTGTATTTTATTTATATTATAATAAACCAATAAATCTACTCTTATATATACTATATAGTTATATTACACATATTATCTATACTATATAGTTATATTACACATATTTTTCTCATTTTTGTTCTTACCTTTTTCAGCCATTCAAAGAAATTTTAATATATGCTTGATTTTCATGTAACTGAAAAGAAAGTTATATTGCCTATATTTTAATGATCTTTTGTATAAAAATCTATATTCTATAAAATTAAAACAATAAAAGGTAATTTTAATAAAGGCGCCAATAAAGTATATAAATTTTGGTGCAAAACTAGTTTAAATGAATAGTCGGAACACAAAAATTGAAAATATAACTACGTAGATGACTCAGATTACCTAAAAGAAGGTGTATTATTACCCAGAGTAAATAAAAAAACAACTTATTTCAGTTACCTTGACGAACGATGAATATTGATGAATATATAAACAGCACATGGTATGAAATCTGTGATTCTGTGTTTCCACTTTTTTCATACAAGTTTCAGAATTCAAAATCATTTCTATTTCGTCATATCGTCGATCAGTATTAAAAAAATCAACATCATGCCAAACATAATGACTAACTGGCGATATAAATAATTTGGTATTATTATTTTTATCAGAAAATTCTTCAATCGTCGTAGTTTACGAATTTTACGGCGTTTTACGCCCCGCCGATGATCAGGTGATCATTCATTGGCTCCGCACGCCCGCCGATGGCGTAAAATAGCAATAACATTTTACGCCGGAGATATCCAGCGTAACACCTACGGATTCCAACCTGGGTCAACAGTGGAAACTTTTAAAAGCAGACTTAAGACCTTTCTTTTTAGAAAGGCATTTTATCTTCAGTTTAAATATAATAGTAAATTTGAACTTCCCGCTGACATTCGTGAGGCGTCAACAGTGGAAACTTTTAAAAACAGACTTAAGACCTTTCTTTTTAAAAAAGGCATTTTATCTTTAAATATAATAGTAAATTTTAAACATGTATATATAGGTATCATCTCATACTTTATAACATTTTATTTGAATTTGTAATGATAGCGCTTTAGAATAGTTATAGTGTTTAGCGCTTTATAAATTAATAAATTATTATAATTATTATTTATTATTAAGTATATGTATCATATTTAGTGGGGCAGAGTTTTGTGTGTTTTAAATATCAATTCGTATTTATATATAAACCGTGTTTCTTAAAAACGAAGCAAACTCATAAAGATATATCATCAGAGACGGCGAAACTGGGTGGGGGGGGGGCAGGAGGGGCAGCCGCCCCCGTTGCCTTTTACCAGGAGGGACAAGGGGGGTAAAGGTGCGCTTTCAGTTTAAAGGATTGCATTGGCGAAATAACGCTATTTGTCAGAAATGTTAGTGCAATTTTTTTTACGAATTTGCTTCAGAAAATGCAAGAAATGCAGTCATGGAGCTTCAAGAATAGTACAATCGCCTGGCGGAGAACCCCCCTCGCACCCCTATCATCCAATAAATAGAAAACATGATTAGGCGAAGTTCAACTTCCAACGTTTTGCAAACATCTCTTAGTATATATCACCTAGCATATTTAAATGCACGGACTAGTGTTTTAAATATCAATGCGTTTATATGTAACTAAGCGTGTTTTTTAAAAAACGAAGCAAACTCATAAAAACATCATATTTAAATGCACGGACTCATGGTGTTTTAAATATCAATGCGTATAGCCTATATATTTAAATGCACGGACTAGTGTTTTAAATATCAATGTGTTTATATAAATAAGCTTATCATTTGTGTCGGTTTTCTTTGATCGTCCGAGGTTTATAACTAGCTTATATACCTTGAATAAATGATTAGATGAAACTTGTAGACAAAACGCGAGAATTTTTCATAAAAAATTTTTGAAAATGACAAAATATGTTAGAAAACCTCCACAAATGTGATATAAGTTAGTTATAAACCTCGAAAGTCGGTTTATAACTAGTGATATATTGCCCTCGGACGCTACGCGTCCTCGGGGGCAATATATCAGTTATAAACCTCCTTCTCGGTTTATAACTCTAACGTGTATGTATGTAAATGTATGTTTGTAAAAATTTATTTAAAGACGCTAGCCTTGTCAACAAAGAGAGTTGATTTCCACAAGGGGCGTCGACATTTGAAAATTTAACGTGTTTCTTAAAAACGAAGCAAACTCATGGAGACATATCAAATGCATGGACTGTGGTGTTTTAAATATCAATGCGTATATATAAACCATTTTTCTTAAAAACGAAGCAAACTCATGTAGACATATAATATTTAAATGCAAGGTCTGGTGTTTTAAATGTTAGTGCGTTTATATAAAGCGTCAAAAGCGTGTTTCTTAAAAACAAAGCAAGCTCATGAAGTCATATCCAGGCGTAAAGCATGTACTCGTCAATTAAGATAAGATTCAACGCAGTGTCAGCCGTGAGGCCCTGGGACCGAGGATGGATAAGATTATGTTTCATCTCTTCATGATTCTTTTGACACTGCAGATGACAGATTGTGAATTCTATCACCGCGGCATACCGTCGGTGAATATCCTAATAATGAGATCATGTTTCTTTTGGCACTGCAGGTGACGAATCGGTATTCGTATTTACCGGTGGTTAAAACATTTTTACCATTCGTTGCGTATCGTAATATTGGATATGTATGCAATTTGGGTGTTTTTTACAATAAGTTGCTGCGGTTTGTGTCTCAACTGCCTGAAAAAGATATCTCAATATCCGCAAGTTTAGACACAAACCACGGCAGCTATAACTATACTCACATAGTCTAATAATCGCAACCACTTTACTTCCAAGATCATTTTCCGCTGTGCATGAATAGTTTCCTTCATCAGAAACGTCGAAGGACTTTATCTTTAATTCAGCACGCGTTTTTTGCGTGATTGACTGTTTCCGATCATTTTTTGTCCATGTGATTGTCGGCGCAGGATCTCCAATTGCAACACAATTAACTGTGACTTTTTGGTGTTGAAATACGCCTTTTGAGATTGGAGGTGTTTCTTTGAAGGTCGGTCCAACTAGAATGGGAGTGTAGTTTAAAATGTTTGATTATGTAATGTACATTACTGTTGTTAGTGGTGATTTGATAATGGTGGTGATGATGGTGATGAGGATGGTGGTGATAATAATGATTATGGTGATGATAGTAGAGGTGGTGATTATGGTGATTATGACAATGTCGAATTGACGATGATGATGGTGGTGCTGTTTTGTTGTTGTTCTAGTCGTTATAGATATAGAAACTTTATTTATACACGCTGACCCCGTCAACCGAAGCTGATTTCCACGGGGGGCGTGTGCAAAAATAGAAAAATGTTACATGGAGATATTAAAATACTTAAGTTT